TTCTGGCAATTTCAATATTGAAGATGCACCACGTTCTGGATGGCCAGTTGAAGCCAATGAAAACAAAATAAAGGTACTGATTAAAGCAAACTGCCGAATAACAACACGTGATATAACTAAGAGATTAAATTTGTCAAATTGAACTGTTTATGATTACTTGAAACAAATTGGTTTCATTTCAAAGTTTGATATTGGTTCCAGAGAATGCTCTCTTTGGTGGGATTTTAAGGAAATTTTTTTTTTGGAGCTTTTACCAGACAATTTAACAATTGATTCAAAAGTGTACTGCCATCGAGTAAACAAATTGAGTAATATCATCAAACAGAAAAGGAGGCCAGAATTGATCAACAAAACAGGTGTAGTGTTTTACTACAATAATGTCAGATTTCACACAAGTTTGGTAACTCCTCAGAAATTGTTATAACTTAGATGGAATATGCTATCACACCAAAGGTATTGGCCAGATCCAGCACATTCAAATTATTACTTGTTCTGGTCTATACAAATTTTTTTTAACTAAGACATTCACTTGAAATGACAATGTCAAAAATCACTTGGATCAGTTTTTTGTAAGCAATGATCAAAACTTTTATGAATGTCAAATCATGCTATTACCAGAAACAATGACAACAGGTATTTCACCAAAATGGTCGATATATAATTCAATAAAATATTTATTTATTATAAAAATATTGTTTTTTTTCCACAGAAAAAAACGAAATTACTTTCCAAACAACCCAATATAATAAATGAGAGAGGAACTTGAATAACACATTACTACATATATAATTCATTTTATTATTTATAACTATATTAATGAAATTATTTCTGAAAATAGATTTATTTATTTTTTTCAGGTTGTTATTGTGGTAAGTTTGTTATTAATTTATTTTAAAAATTAATATTTCATGCTAATATATTAAGACAGTAATATTTTATGTTTCTTAAATAGAATATAATTAAAGTGTTACAAAAGATAATAACACTTACTTTGAGTGATAGAAATTTACAAAATTCTTCTGAAGTTAAAGGTGAGTAAATGCATTTTTTTAATAAATAAATTTCAGGTTTTATAATTTTGTGATTTTATAGAGAAATTAGTGAAAAATCAAAATATCCCAAATATTAAAAGAAATGAAGACTGGATAAAGACAACAGCTGAGAATTTAAGTGTATTAATTAAGCAGATAGTGAGTTTAGTTTGTCATTCTCATTGGAAAGTTCGGTTAGCATTGGCTGAATTTTCAGAAAGTCTTCTATTACAATGCACAAGGTAATTTAAAACTTTTATTGAAAAATAGTTAATGTAAGAATAATATACTGATTTAATGATATACAAAACCATTCAGTACTATGATTTAATTAAGATATTTAGATATATATATCAGGTCAGTCCATAAGTCCATGCATATTTTTATCTACAAAAAAAGCAACAAAAAATTTTAATTAAATTTTATTTCAATCTATAATGTATTCACCATTATTTTGTACAATTTCTTGCCATCTTGATGGTAACTTTTTAATCCCATCTTCATAAAATGATTTCGGTTTTGAATCAAAATATTCAGAAATAGTCTTTTTTACATTGTTCTCATCCTCAAAAGTTTTCCCTTTTAAAAAATTCTGCAAACTCCGAAAAAGATGATAATCACTGGGAGCAATATCTGGCAAATATGGTGGATGAGGTAAAATTTCCCAGTTGAAGCTTTG